AGTTTATCTAAAGGTAACTTTTGTTGGGTAAGTGTTGTTAGATGAATCAAACTGAAAAAAAAGACGTTCACAACAGCTTGACAAGAAGACAACCCTTTGGTATAAGATTTTTGGATCCAGCATTTGAACAAGACCACCTTACTACTCTCGAATATGGCAATGACATGTCTGTTAAGGAAATGCATAAAATCGATGGGACTATGCTTATCGACTGCATCAAGTCACCTCCAAAGAAGGAGTCAGATCTCAGAAATGCAATCGACAAAGTAATGAACACAAAAATTAAACAGTACAGTACATTGTCTAAAATGTTCATCCTCCTTTTAAGTGTATTTGGAGATCAATGCAAAGACCAATGCAATTTCTTTAACTAATACATTTTTGGAAAACCATCTTTCTTTAGTTCTGACAATTTACTCTGTTGTCTTTCGTTCCGACGACTTCCAACTGTACATTTCTGCCCTAAAGAGAACCTGACTCATGTTTCTTTGCTTTGGCCGCCACCACTGCAAGAAGTCACTACTGCTTTTTCTTTCTAGCTTTCTCCATTGGGAAAAATCTCGCACCCCTTCCTTTTAACACTGTAGAGTTCTATTATTTCCTTTACCAATTATCCTGTTGAGTGCTTCCATTTCATCATTAGTGACCAGACAGCTCAGCCAAAGAAATAACGAAAACCTGCAGTTTAACCAGACAATTAAACCTTTCCTCTTAAGAACTATATTTTTCCTGCAATCAGCTCAAAGTAGCACAAGAGTTAAAATCTATTTTCTTTGATATTATCTTCGAGACAAATAGTACCTTATCCAAACAGTCCACCGTAGTTACTAAAACATGGAACGACCTAAAACCACCTAAAACCACCTAAAACCATCTACAACCACCTAAAACGACCTCAAAAAATTCAACAACCATCTACAACCACCTCAAAAACATCTACAACCACTCGCAAACAATCTAAAACCATCTAAGACAGGGTACTTAAATGTCTGAAATAGTTTCACACACATGTATGTAGTCCCACAGAATCCTTTAGTCTAGTGTGAACGTGTCTCACTTGTAGGGCCTGACTTTATACAGCTATTTACCCGTTTACAGTTGCAAGAATTAGAAAACATTATATCATGATATTTGATAATTCTTTTCAGCAAAATGAATCAAAACGTTCTTACCAGTAACGTCCCTTGGAGGGGAGGGAGGACCCGAATATGTGATCCAAATTTTTCGTTCCGTTTAAGCTCGTAAAGTTCCAGCTACTCTAGCCTGTGCCAGGCTCTTAGATAGTATAGTGGGGACGTATTTACAACGAGCAAAGCGAAAATAAGAAGCGCGCATTTCCCATCAATCCCAAGAGGAGGGCCGGGGTGAAAGTTGGGTTCCAAAACATAATAAAGGTATATAAAAATCCAGGTAAATTACTTTAAATACAATCATTCACTATTAAAATTTTTCAACCCAATTTTATTAATTTCGGCTCGTCTTAACTTGTTTTTTTCTGAATCCATTGCATTATAGATTTTTTTTAAATAACATTTTTAACAATGATTACACCTACTAGTCTCCGTTTCCTGTGTCGTGACGCAACGGAGTTTAGCCTTGCATGATGACACAGGAAACGGGTGTGAAAGACACTAGGGTTAATCTAAAGGAGTCACCTGGAATGTACAAACATGTTTGGCGGATGAGATGCTAAAAAAATTAACTTGTTCCTAGGAATATAATCCGCCACCTCAGAACAAAACAGCAGTGAAGCAGACTCCGAGAGAGAGAGAAACCCTACCTTGTGCCATTGCGTAAACAAATGAAACGTGAACCAAAACGTCTCACTGGTACCCAGGGTAGAAAAAGCCAAATCAAGTCAGTCTTTCGACTACGAGTTTGTTATTTTATTTTATTATTTCTTGTGACTTGATAGTTCATTTTGTAAAGTTCTTTAAGTCTTTTAATATACTTACCATGATCTCGCATTTCAATTTTTAGGGGGAAGTGGATGTTTTGTTCGATTCTCATATTTCATGTTCGTGACATGTTGTCGTCTCGCCCTATTTCAGACATTTATACCTTTTTTTAGATGGTTTTAGATTGTTTGCGAGTGGTTGTAGATGTTTTTGAGGTGGTTGTAGATGGTTGTGGGTGGTTGTTGAACTGTACCATTTGAAAGTCACTTTTTCTAGCAGATTGCACAAGCTAGTTATGAGACAGTGGACCAATTTGTGTGTAGGCTTCAGCAGGGGGCTGCGAGCTGTGATTTCGGGGTCCTGCAGGATGATTACGTTCATCATCAAGTTATTGATAAGTGCTACTTAAGTCATTTAGGTCTCAAGTTTTTAGGGCAGGAAAGTACAAGTGGCTTATGTTTCGCATGACTCCTGCCCCAGGGAAGTACCAGCAAATTGTTCGAGATGTGCTTGAAGGTTGTGAGGGCGTGGTAAATACAACTGCTGATTTAATTATCCATGGGAAGAGTGTCGAAGAGCATGACAGGAGGCTATTTGCGGTGTTGGATAGCCTCAAATGGGTTGGATTGATGCTTATAGTGGCAAGTGTGAATTCTGCCTATCAAGGCTTACCTTTTTCGGGCACAAACTGACTAGTTATGGTGTTAACCCAACCAGGAGATTGCAGCTATCCAAGAAGCGAGAGCTCCAAAGGAAATCAGTGAGGACAGGTCGTTTATGGGACTAGTACAATACTCTGCGAAGTTCATGCCTGCCAGACGTAGGATCATTAGCGCGATTTACATAGGACCTCACGAGGAAAGGTGTTAACTGTGTAATGGGGGGGCAGAACAGCAAACTGCTTTCGAGAGGCTTAAGCAAACAATCATGCACGTGGACATGTTGGCATGCTACAAGGTCGGTTCCAGGACAAGAATCATCGCAGATGCTTCACTAAATTTGTGCATAATGTCAGCTGCTTTCGATTTCTCATAAGGGGCAAATAAAGTTAAACAAGGTACGAGTAAACGCCAATGGGGCATCTAGTTGGTAATTTAAATTTGCTTTTGATGTCATTGATTTTGACCGTAACATTGCTCTCTCTCAGGAACGTTTTGACGGGTATCCTGTCCGGAGACTACAATCCTCTTGAATGGAGACAAGGAAAAAGCAAGAATATATGATTCTTGCGTCTCCAGACGCCCTTCAGTATATGTTGTCCGAGGAAAACGACAATGATACGCAACCAAGCAGTGGCCCAAAACCGAGGAAAACAAGGAAACTACACTGGGAAAGAAGTAAACTGAGGAACATCAAGGCCAAACTGGATGAAACATATTCAAACCGCTTATCTGAAAAGCAATGACGAGTTAGTGCTACTGTGCCCCGTGGTGAAAGATCTTCTACACACCATGTCCGATTAACGGCCCTAGCTGGGTAGTTCGAAAAGAAAGGCCATAATCTTGTGATGTAGAGACTATAATTTTGCTTTTGTTTCAAGAGAACTTTCTTAAGAATTTACTTTTTCAAGCATGTCGCGATCATAATCGTTTTGTTGGTTTATTTATAGAAAAAAGTGTACAATTGCAATAATTCTGCAAATATATGATATATATTGTTATTGTTATGCGACGTATTGTTATTGCTTCAGAGGTGTGTATCCAATTTTTTAATCTAGAGAGCAAATATCTACGATCTAGCCAGCAAACAGGGTATCCTAACTTAATTGCCAATAAATATACCAGTACTACAGAGTACTGTGCATGTAGTACTTACAACGATATCGATAGCCACACTGTGCAAAGTATAAGTAGATAAAAATATTGATGTGAACTGATCTGCTGGATTATTCATGTGTCGTAATTTATAAATGCTAAGGGACTTAAATTATGAATGCAAACACGTGATAGTGCTCCTGAGCCAGGATTCCGGAGACCTTTATTTGGCAACTGGTCAGAATTCATCCCTTAACTGTAAAAAAAACCAAATAGACAAGAATGATTTAAAATTATGGAAACACGAGATTACCAGCCAATAGCTATCCTGATTATGGAACGGAAACAGAAGATGTTGATGCTTCCGGAAACGTTTTCTCATGTTTCCGCAAGTTCTGCTATTAAGTCCGTCAATGGAAGTAAGTGTTTCTACGAACAGACACTTGAAAAAAACATGTAAGTGGTACAGTTCCACTATGAAACAATGTGACAAACACCAGAAATCGTCACATATCTACTAGCGGAAACACATGTCAGCCATTACATTTCCACAACAGTTAACCGCACTTCTGCTACGTTTCAGTTTGCAAATTTGTGGTTTCTCGTCCTGTGTTAAATGTTGGAATTTGTAATACCAATGTGATCACAGACATGTTATGCTTTCAGAGAGGAGATAGAAAAATAACTCTAGATTCTGAGATCAAGACGTTTAATCTCCTGCCTTTTGAAGCAAAGTTTATTGATTGACTGACACAATGTGTTTTGTTGCAGAATGTGTTGACGTCTTTAGGGAGACTGGTAACAAGTATGGCAGTCAAATCTACGAGCATGCCATAAAAGGAGTTGTAGTCGGTCTAATTCCTTTGAAATTGCATCCCAAATGCTTTGGGAAGAAAGAAAACTTAGTTAAGAAAAAAAAGAACAATCATTAATAACATATTAAGTTATTTATGTCTTAAGAATGATCTACCAGGTCCGTAAGAAGCAATGTTCGAACTTTAATTGTCCAACCCCCCTCACCTCTGTAATTTCCTGGGCCTCTAACCCACCCGGGAATTTCCCATTCCCTCCATGGTGGGGGTTTGGATATTTTCTGGAACCATACGTAGTATGTTTAATATAATTTGTTGAAAATTGAAGTTGGGGACATGTAGTTTCCAAATTTAAACTATAAACAGTTGATGTGACTCATGTGGGGTGTATTGTCTGTTTAATTCAATTTGTGCCAACTGCAATAATTCAAAATTTGTAACATCCCATGTTCGCATGTTCAAGACTGTGAGAACTAAGATGGTCAAGTATGTGAGAGAGATGATGTTATCAGGTGGTGTGTTATTACCCACTAGAGGCGTTATTGGAAAAAGAATCAAAAGATGTTATTGGAGTCAAAGACATCAAGCTCACAGTAAGGCAGACAAGGAGAAAAGAAGGAGACAACGGTTTCTCAATAAAAGGAACTGTCTAACAATGGTAGGATTATACTATTTTTCACTTTCATACTCAAATGCCTTAGATCAGAAGAAAGTGCACGCTTGTTAAGATTTGGATTCATTTTTCAAGGGAAGAGAGTGGATTCAATACCAAATGTCTTACAGTAAAGTTACATGGAATGTTAGCTGGGTAGGAGGTAGGGTTCATGACTGGAAAAATAAACCCCCTGTGAGGAACAAGATAAATTTATTCTCCAGGGCTTGGTTGTTTACAGCCAGTAGGTTAAGATAAGACAGGGTTAGTGAGAAATTTGAATTCAACTGCCTAGCACATTGAGCACAGTGCTTGTGTACATTATGTGTGCTGGCGAATCTAATGATTGTTGTATCACTAGCATGTGCAATCCCATGATTACTGTGACATCAGTATGACCTTAAACTCAACACCAGTTCTCTGTGGTGTCATGTTCTATCCATTTTAAAGTACACAGAACACAAGCAACCCAAGAATGTTGATAGATTCTGGAAAAACCTCGCTTTACAGTTAATGAAGTGCCGCTGACCAATTCCTATTATTATATAACTAATCATTATTACTTTGTTAACAAATCTCTGTTCCTTTTTTCCACAATGGTTTCAATATCAATGTCTCATAAAAGTACAAAAATGTTAACTTCCAGGAAAAGAGTTGGGAAGTAAGGAAAGCATTGGAAAGAGAAGAGTTGAAGATATAAAGGAACTGAGAAGTACGATTGCCCCAGTGGAAGCAAAGGAAGTGGTAGTCTACAATTCTGGGGATGAGGACGTATGCTCTGATCTTCTTATGAAATAAAAGATCAGTTTGGAGAGGGGCAGGGAAAACACAGGGAAAATCAACGAAGGGGAAGTCGCCTGCTGGTTCTACTTAATGGTAAGGCATGCAGCCAACAAACGTCTGTCAAAGACCTGATAGAGCCGGCAAAAGAGAATATTCCGAAGCCAGGAGCCACGGCTCCATCAGCTAGTCTGACCCCTCTGAGATGCTGCAAAACATCTACTGATGATGCAGCCTTATGTGCACAACAAAAGAGGGGCAAGCTAGCTTTAACTTGAACGCCTCAAACAAGGATATAAGGTAAGTTATCTGTGGGCCCATCAAGTGAATGCAGCAACCTCATGGTGGCTGCTGGGGCACTGTGCTTCTCACTGGTGGAGACCGAAAGTAGTTAATCTACTATTATTGACTTGCCACTGTTTCTCTTTCAGGGAGAATTAACTGATTAGGGACAGCATAGGGAGGTTAAATGTGTAAGAAACAGCAATACAGACCTGCCAACCCCTGATAAAGGAGAATCTGGAGACCTGTAAAAAAAAATTGGATATTCTACAAAAAGTAATGAAATACCGTTGTTCTTGATCTAGATTAAAACAGGCACTAGAATTCCTCATGGAATATCCATTTTTATTCAACAAGGTAGCATTTCATTTCAGAAAAATATTTTCCAAAAAACTGTGAGATTGAGAGTCTTGTGAGGCCGTGAGAAAAGTAAAAAAAGTCGCGAGAGTCAAGGCAGAATCGTGAGAGTTGGTAGGTGTGGCAATAAAATAAGACATTTTTTGGTCAATTAAAGGATCTTATATAGGTACCGTCTAAGTTATTTGGTTCGTTTAAGTGTTTAGCTGTTTCTTTTACTACAGTTAGTAAAATCCTAAGTGACTCAACGTTTTGGAATTGTCCTTTAACGCAATTAATTGTAAAAATGGTTTATTATAAGAACATCCTTGGAAAAATAGGAAACAATAAGCCTTAGCATAATTTGTTTGGTACATAGACTGCCTGATTGGACATGAAATTCGAATACAGTGAGAAAAATACTGACATTTATGGTCTTTCTACAGTCCTAATTATGATAAAAGTATTATCTTCCATTATGAATGAGTGCTGACTCCCATATTAAATTAACGGGGATGCTTGGTTCTCATTTAAGTGTTGGATTTACAGGTTTTGATCCAACCTCATTCCCAGGTTCTCTTTCCTTTCCATCGAGAGACCCTGGTTGGGTCTGGTCATGTAACTCCTAGAGTATGGGATGGGTAGAAGAGAACCCTGGGAATGATGTTAGTTTTGATCTCATTGAGGGTGTTTAGGACAAATAACCAATAATTTTTACCCATACTGGCACTTCTTGAGATTGTGGGTAAAGAAATTAATGTCCATATAATTTCATAAGGATTCAATTCAACCCTGAATCAAACCCGCAATGTTCTCTTTTAGCGATTTCACTCTAATTTTTTAATATATGTGAGCATCTTGTCATTTTTATGTGGGATTTTAATCCCCCCATCACTCTGGTTTCTCTTGGCGGCCCGAAAGCCCAGCTAACATTTTAGGCTGAACGCAAAATATTGAAATTCAAAATACCAAGTGTAGTGCTAGTATAGGTCACACAAACCAGTACATCAATAACAAATGTGTTAATTATCACTTCATTCCCAGAATAAATAATGAATCTTGTACTAAATTTAAAATCTGCTGATGAAATTCTGTGGTGTGACTATTAAAATGAAACCTGTTTAGCATTATTCTCACCAGGTGCTATCTGTTTTTTCAGCATTTTACAAAATAAAATTCTTAACACAAAACTTTACCTTACATGAAAATTGATAAATTACAAGTACAGACTACTTGGAAATAGCGGAGCTAATTGAAGCAGGTAGTATGATGATGCGTCACTTACACTTAAACTACAACATTAATACAGAGAAAGTTACATAAATAATGGTAATTGAACTGAGTGGAGTGCAATTTGGTCTGAAATCATACGCGTGATTTCAAAATCGAACGAGCGTGCAGCACGAGTTCGATTTGAAATCACAAGTATGATTTTAGACCAAAATTGCTCGACACGAAGTTCAATTACCAATTTATTACATCCATTTTGAAATTGCGGAATTCAGTCAGTACCAATATTTTATTGATCGAGTAGCCGGTTTGTTAAAAAGCCGAAACAAAAAGACTTTTACATCTCATTTTGTATTCGAAACAGAAATGATGCGATATATAGAACAAAAATGGTAGGATTTAGAACATGAATGACGCGATTTGGAACAGATGCGATTTAGAGCAAAAAATGGTGCGATTTAGGAATAAATCACACTGCTGAGAGCCAATCAGATGGCACGGATAGCCAGTGATTTCAAAGTGGATGTAATAATAATAAATATGGTATTACAGATTGGATAGAATAATTAGAAGTCAAGCTTATAAAAATTGGGAGCTGAACACTTCAGCAGGGGATAATTAAAAAGCTAAGAACATTGCGTTTCAGGAGCTTAATTTAAGCAAACCAGCATGAGATGAGAGAAAAAAATTTGGTCATCCCTGTTTTACTATGGTCTATTTTATAAATAAACTTTTTTATAGTCCCTACTAGTAGCAGAAAAGGTAGTACATTGTTTTTTGTTTTTCAAATACCCTCTCAATGCAGTTTATCTAGAGAATGAATGGTTTACTCATGCACGAATTCACCTGTCAAAATTTCGAGCAATGTGCGAAGAGATTTACATCACGATGTCAAAATTTCGAGCAATGTGCGAAGAGATTTACATCACAATGTCACGCTGTACTAAAGTTGATTAAATTCACTGACTTTTCGCCTCCACGAAAATATATAGCGAGTATTAACTAAATCCCGTGCAACGAGCATCCACTCATAGAGATTACAATTTTGAGATTGACCCTAACGGTGGCAAAAAGTAAGAAGTCTGAGAAAACTGTTTCCTTCACGTGTTTCTTTGTTTTCCTCAAACCTCAGTCGATATGCTGTAAAAATAAAGAACAGTACAGCAGGATGGCTACCCTGCAATCAGTGGTTTCTCCAGGCTGGACGCATTAGAAGGGCAGAATGTTATTTTCCATTACACGACTTACTTCGGTCGATGACAGAGTTGATTAACAAGACAAGTCAGACAAAAACAATGCAAAAATTTAGACCACGAAATGATTTAGACTTACTAAAGCAACTTTGCTCCAGCAAAGTCTTAGTGTGTTCAGTGCTATTGAACACCTTATCTTCATTGTGCATTTAAGTATTTATTAACTATTTAGTCATACCAAAAGAGCGTTTTTTTTACGTTTTGCCAGTGTAACAAGCAAGTGTTTTAGTTAACATTGACCTTTTGTTAAACCAAACAAAAATGGATGTTTAAGGACGTTTGCAGATAAACTACTGCCCACAGCCCTTTTGAATGGTTTCCTTTTTTACAGGTTCACACAAGTGAAAATTCAGATCTGAAAGAACACTGTAGCGTGTACGCATTAAGTAGCCAAACACAAACAGAATTCAAACAGCAGTGTAATCATCGCCATGATGAGAGGTGTGAGGAATGTAAAGCCGTAGAATCAACACAGGCAGGTATTGAGCGACTGATGTAAGATGCATTTCACCCCAGTGAGGATGACTGTGATGAAGCGCTCTATCCAATTCGGACAGCACAACATGCCATTCATACCTGGAATTACCACCAGTTAAGGGCTGTTCGACAGGACCAAGGCAGGTCGGATGAGTACACTGTACTAATTGTAAATAACTGGGCCATTAAATTCCTTTGTCACATGCATTGTGAATCGTAAACCAGATTGGATGCAACGAGGAAAATTTCATGGCACATTTCTGTTGTCTATTGCAGTTTCCTTTGTGAGCTACAATCGCAAGCATTAATTCACCACATACAGTGCTGCAAACAAGACGACTCTGCAGTCATCTTCATAATACAGCATGTACTTTATTCACTATCCTCTGAGCACCCTAACATCACCAAGGCAGTTCTTCACCAAGACAACGCTGACTGCTACCAATCCTATGCAACACTTTTCGCCTTTCCTTCCATAGAGGCTTCAACTGGAAAAGAGTGGCAGGTGTAGATTTCAAGGAGAGAAGGGAGCAGCTGACAGAATGACTGCAGCAGCAAAGTCTCACATTAGGATATTCATAAATGAGGGCACTGATGTGACAAATGCAACGCAAATGAAAGACGCTGTGCTTTCGCATGAGGGAGTCAAGAGTGTTCAGATGGTTTGGAATCAGCATATGTTAGGGTGGCTGGTCACGTGTGAAAGTCCTCGGTTGTCTTTTCGGTGCTACTTAAGTAATGGCTACAATCAACCAGGTGAAGAAGCTTCTAAAGAAGGAGCTTTCACCCTTCCATTCCAAAATGGAAAATATGATCACAACGTTTAATAAACTAAAAGTTTGAGTTAATTTCTCAGACAAGTATGGCGATCTACAGACTCAAATCAAGCAATCGAATAAAGAGTTCAACAGCAGAAAATAGAATTACGCAAAGTAAACTTCTTCTGCCTAAACTCACATCGTTCAAAACTTGTCAATACTACTTTTTAAATAATAAATTGTGGTGTATGACGTCATACCACGTGCTCTTGCATCACACTCTTAGAGCGGTTTTCACATTCTTTTGTGTATTTCGTTGGGAGAATAATAGGTCTGTTGAATTTCTGAAGCTCAATCTTACGCCTTACAGAACGACGCAATACGTAACAGTGGTGACGAAGTACACCCAGCAAACGAACAGTCAACATCGACCAACGAGGAATTACCAGAATTATGGACGAACACGGCTTTTAAACCTCCAACATCAGCAAGTGATATGGCAGGCAGACCACCCTTTGATACTTTTAATTCTGGGCCGGGTTGTTTGAAGCTGGGTTAAGATAACCCAAGGTTAAAATCCAAAACTTGAACTCGGATATGAGAGCTTAAAAGCAAATCCAGTTTAATTCTCTTTGCCTAAATTACGATGACTGGATACTTCAAAAAGAATAGAGAAATATTCAAGAAAGTGCTTTTGATCAAAAGAAAAAGAAACCCAGTTTAAAACTTTACCCCAAGTTAGCGTTGATCTCCATTCTAACAACTAGGCCCTGAGTCTTAAGATATCGAGAGTTACCTTTAGCCGTTACAAGAATATTTCATTGCTAACGATATTAAGAACGATTCAGACAATGCCACTAAGTGAAGAGCGATACTTCTTACATCTATTGGCAGCAGTGCTTAGGAGTATCGAAAGATTTATCCTTCCCAGAAGAGCCAGACAGGAATACCTACGACCAGCTGGCAACTCTACTGCAGGGTCATTATAAGCCCACTTGTTTAAAAGTGGCAGTAAGATACTGGTTCCACTCTGCAAGCCTGAAACCAGGGCAAAGTATCGTTGACTTTACTCCTTGCTAGGACGTGAATTCACAAACAAACATTTAAATGATAGTCGACACGATTGATTCACTTGTGGGCTTCATTGGGAGCAGATTTAATGGAAATTGTTATCCGCTGACTTCACGTTCAAGAAAGCCATGGACGCTGCTATCACCCAAGGAATGGCGCAGAAAGATGTACGAGACGTTAGGGAGACATCCCAAGGTGAAAAGTTGTCTTTGAATGTGAACAAGGTTAAGCATGACAACGGGTCATCACACAGTCGCTTGTCAGGCCGACACACGGCAGTAGTGGGAAACAACCTCTGTAACAGACAGAAAATAAACGTTATATGGTGTGGTCTTCGGTGACCGCACACAAAATATCGCGGACGCTCTTTCCCACGAAAAAGCACACGTTTTGTTATGGAGTTATACTGTCGTTTCGTTAGGACAAGTTTTCCTTTCCATTAAGAAGGCACAATTACTTGTAAGTATGCAGTATTTTCGGTTATTCGGTCAATATCATCTTTGTAATAGTCGCATTGTTGTTATTTCAGCGAATCTTTCTCTTTCACGTGCAATTTGTGAATGGAATGAATACAAGTTATGTGCAGATTAGAAACGAACTAGCAAGTGAACAACTGATTAAAGTACAGTTTCAAGTAGCTATGAGTGGACGCTACATCATTCGAAGTTATTAATTTCAAGCAGTACTGTGGTTAAAGGAACGGAATGACTGGCAAGAATTCGAAGAGCAAGAAATCGAAAAGTGGTGGTAAGAAAGGTGGACACGAGCAAGCAGCGACTCATGTGACTCCACAGAAGGAAAATGTTCCCAATTCGGCGCCAACAGAGAAATCGCCTCAGCGCACGTTCCAAGGTGATGAGAATGGTGGACTAGAGCAAGTAGGGCCATCATTAAGAAGTGGAAACGTGGAATTTGCTTTCTATGGCGAGGATCCGGTAGAACAAGGCAGTAGTTCCAGGCCTGTTAGATTAAGGGAGCCGAACAAAAGAATAGATGAATTGGAAGTTCGAGTCGAGAAAGCGGTTAATGCGAAGCGTCAGCGAAACTGGTATCTTGGAGAACTGCGGAAACAGCGAAATTGTGTACAAGAATTGATTTTAAGCCCTAGCACACAGATAAGGGGAGTGGAAGCCGAGATTTACAGGTATGAAGAAGCATTTCGTAACTTTGTTGTCAGTCATGATAATTACTTCAGCTTTGAAGATGATGAAGAGAAAAAACAATTTATTATTGACAATTATCAGAATGAACGAGAAATGAAATTACAGTTAGAAATCCTCATAAATCAGTGGAGGAAAAAGGGAGTAGGTACCCCTCCTTCTGAATCTGGATTGAGCCATGGGTCTGACAAGAGCGAGAGAAGTTGTGTGTCAAATAGAGGCAGTGTTAAAGAGAAGAGAAGGGTGGCAGTAGAAGCTAAATTGGAAGTGCAGACCCTAAAGGAAAAGCAGGAACTAGAACGCAAATTAGAAGAAGTAGAAAGCAGTAAAGCAGAGTTAAACAGGAAATTAGAGCTGTTGAGTGCTAAAACTAAGATGAAGCAGGCGGAAATTGACTTATTGCTGGAGTGCGGCGAAGAGAATGAAGCAAAGGATGGGATGAATGATTACTTAAAAGAGCATAGTGCCAATTATCCTCCTACGAAGGGGCATTTGTCACAGCCTGTTACGGGTGGTGCCACACCCTCTTCAGAATCCGAGCCAGTTGTTGACAATGGAAAAATGCAAACATCGTCAGCACAAGATATTGCCCAAACTTCACTTTCATCATTGGTGACTGCGAGTTACGTAACATCAGGGTCAGCGGTCACGACTTCTGGTCCAAACGTAGAGCTCCAATTAATTGTTCTAAGTTCAGCACGCCTATCAGTTATGTACCTCGTTTTAATTTGCCAAAGGCAACATCCACAGCTGTTGCGGCATCACCAATGTCGATGCACCAATCACCAGGAATGCCTACATGGTCTTGTAGTCCATGAACTGTAGGTTTAGATACATCAGCAACCGAGTTCTATCCTGCCGACACTCCTCAGCAATCCACATCAACGTACATTTATTCAGCCCCTCCTTTTGAGCAGCGAGCTAGTCCGCAGTCACGCATGCAACCTGATCCTTGGGTGGCAGTTGCCGAAGCAATCAAGCAAGGGCCATCCTTACCGAAAGTAGAGTTGATGAAATTCAGTGGAGACCCTTTGGAGTATGTGGAGCTTGTTACGAACTTTAGAGACAATATTGAGAACCAGGTGTCTGATGAGTCTCAAAGACTGACACGCCTTTTAGCTCAGTGCTCAGGCAAAGCTAAAGAAGCAATTAGGAGTTGCGTTAATTTGACAGTGGGTAAAAGGTACACAGAAGCCTGGAGAACTCTTAGCGAGAACTTTGGCCAGCCTCACATGATAGTAGAAGCCCACATGAAGAAACTGAGAGAAATTCAAGTGTGGAAAGCAGATGCGACGACTCTCATGGAGTTTGTAAGGCGACTGGAAGATGCTAGGAGGGTCCTGACTAGTATGGGTTACAACTACGTGAGTCGGTTAGACAACGAAGATGTCATAATCTCGTTGATGCGAAAGCTCCCTGATGAGGGCCTGAAAAGGAAGTGGGTGGATAAAGCAGGAGATCTCATCAAGCGAAAAGGTCGAGCGGACTTTGCGGACTTTGTTGAATTTGTTCGAAGAGTTGCAGATCGTATAAACAATAGATACGGGCAAGAATTAGGGTCCTCTTCTCCTGGTAACCGAGAAAAAAAGGAACCAAACAAGATAAAGGATCCGCCTCCCAAGTTTACTACCCTTGCGACTCAAACTGACCAGAACTGCCTGAGCCAGAAAACATCACCAAGGCCCCCTTGGAAGTGTGCTCAGTGTTCCGGACCTCACAATGTTTGGAGGTGCCGAAAGTTCAGAAGTGCCTCATTGAATGACCGTCTAAAGACTGTTCGTCAACGTGGACTTTGTGACCAAGGACATACCGCGAAACAATGTGATAGGGGATTCACCTGCCGAATATCAGGTTGCGGCAAGGATCACCACTACCTGCTACATTTCCCGTCGGAGAGCGTTGATGAAAAGAACCCTAGAAATCCCAGCAGTAATGCGGTGGAAGGTTCAGCGAACAGTAGCAATGTGCAAGCGCCCAACACGAAGGATAGCAGCCCTTCGATGGCAAGTGCAAGGGAACAGGATCTGGTGACGGTTGCTGTGCTCATAGCGGGCAGACCCAGAGTATGCTTTAAGGTAGTTCCAGTTAAGATTAGATGTCCGGGAGGCACCAGAGAGATCATAACACACGCTTTCCTAGACAGCGGTTCAGACGCCTCGCTCTGTCTAGATAGTTTGGCGCGTGAAATAGGTGTAACGGATATGAAGCCAATCAGCTATACTATGACCACCACCAACTGTGCGGACGGGTAGCTAAGACATGGTCATGAAGTCCAGTTAGAAATTGAATCGTTAGAAGGAGATGCAAAGTTCCAACTCGAAAACATCTTGACTACAAGCAATCTTCCTGTTTCAGCATGACAAATGGCCACAAACGAGGATATTAAGCGTTGGCCTCATCTCTGTGACGTTAGCTTACCCGAAACAGGAGATAAGAAAGTGACAATTTTGATAGGAAACGATCGCCCAGACCTGATCGACAAGCAGTTAGATCGGAAAGAAGGAGACCAAGGCAAACCTGTTGCAGTGAGGACGCCCCTTGGGTGGACAGTCCACGGCCCGATTGGAGAAACCGTTAAGGACCGTGTTAGATAGATAATCTTTATTTATTCACGGTACAAAATTCGTCAGCTTTAAAAATGCCTAATACTAATATAATAAAAATATTTAAATAAAAAAGCTGCTTTCCACGAATGCCGTGCCTTACAGTTCTTTGAGTAATCGTTTAAATTGCCCAAGGGACTCTGCTTCCCTTAAGTTACAAGGAAGACTGTTCCAGAGAATGGCGCCACTATAGCTGAAGCTGTTTTTGTAATAGTTTGTGCGCGGTAATGGAATA